TATAACATAAAATAAAATATGCAACAAGGAAAAATGGCATTATTACTAATAATAATTACTTTATTGAATCTTTTAATTTCTAAAATTTCTAGTAATAAAACTATATCCAATATGACTTCTTAGATATCAAAGACTGAAGAGGGCCAGCTTAATGAGCCACAAGAGCTTTAGTAGTTACAGGATATGCTATTCGAGTGGCAAGTAGTACAAGTTAGAATAAATACATGGAATACCAACTTGGTTGAACAGTATAATTCTAATCGACAATCAAGAGCAAAACATACCTCCATCCTTAGTAGTTAACACTATGCTAATGAAATTCTTCAATGCGAATACTTTAAATGGATACTAGACTGCCTGCAGATACCATTACCTGTATTTCAAATTCTATGCACTATCTTCAGAAGCTACAATTTACTAATAGATACTCAGTATAGTTCTATTGAACATCAAGTTCACATCTTTCTATATATAGTATCAATGAATGCATCTAACTGTAATGCCTAAGAGCAGTTTCAGCACTCTGAGGTAATATTTTCTTATTACTTCCTTGTAGTTCTAAATGCAATCAATTCAATTGAAGCTGAATATATTCAGTATCCAATGGCAAATACAAGTAATTTGGATATTATACCAAAAGAAATAATGGAAAATCCAAAGTTTTTCCCCTACTTTAAGAATTGTCTGAGTAGTATTGATGGTACTCTAGTTCCTATATCTGCACCAGCTGATACTGGGACTGCACCTCGAATACGGAAAGTATTTACTGTACAAAATTGCTTAGTTGCTTGTACTTTTGACTGCATGTTTCAATTTGTACTTGCTGGATGGGAAGGGTCAGCTTATGATGCAGTTGTTCTTAGTGATGCAATTGCAAAAGGATTTCATATGCCTAGACAAAATTTTTACCTAGTTGATCATGCAGGCTATACAAGTTCTTCACAGTTTTTTACCCCTTATAGAAATGTTAGATATTATTTGAAGGAACAAATAATAGGAAACCAAGTGTGAGTACTCTTTTAATATCTATTTAGATTTGTTTTTTTTAAGTATGACAAAACTTTTACTAATTATATTAGACCAAGCATGGTAAAAGAACTCTACAACCTCCATCATGCATCTGCACGAAATTGTGTGGAAAGAATCCTAGGAATGCTTAAGTACCAGTTTCCAATCTTATGATCTTCTGTATCCTTGAATGGTTCTACACATGCAAGATTATTTAAAGCTTTGTATTGTTTTTATAACTTTATCCGCCCTAGTTGGACTTCAATATAACAATTTTAACCAGAATTGACTGAAGCACAAAGAAGGATTCAACAAAGAATAGCTTTACATGAAGCTAGACAACCTGTAGTATCTGATTGACAAAAGAAAAGAATATAACAAGTGTATGAAACATAAGGTTTTAGTTTATATACATAAGTCATGAATCCAGTCAATTCGAAGCTCATTATTGAATAATAGAAAAGCCAAACACTCCTGTTCAGACTTTGCTAATATCTTTCATAGAAGCTTAATCTCATATCTTGTAATTTCCTTCTTATTATAAAGTTGCAATAGCTGATATATAGCCTTCATATATACTCTAAATTCAGGCTGTATATCAGCTGCACAGAGAGGTTGAGCCAAGTCCTGAAGTGTTTGCTCTGGCCCCTTAGTTCATTCCACCTCCACAAACCACACTCTTTTAGCTACATTGCTGTTTTAAATAACATTAGACATCACATTATTCACATTTTGACTTGACTGGATGATTGAATGCCCAGTTTGTTCAAAAACCTCCTTCATCATCTTTTGTTTATGTAGTTGATAGAGTGTTGCTGTTGGGGTAGTATGTTAAGGTATTTGTACACAAGAACTATTTTTTTGAGTTCGCGGGTTGGATTGAAAGCCATCGCTCTGACTTTCCAACCAAGAATCCTTCTCATAACCTAATAGCTTTTGAAAACTCCTATTATAATTTACTATTAGTTACTGGTTTTATACATTGCTATTTGAATATTAAAATTAAAATTGGAGATAATGTGATTAATAGTATACATACTACTTAGGTAAAATAGTAGGATGAACAGTAATACTTGAACTACTGTCCATAATAGCATCATTACCAGCTGTTGTACTTGACTGACCAGTCAAAGTCACAAAAGTAAGTGCTAGTGGCTCTGTAATAGTTGCATTAATGGCTGTTGCCACGGTCTCGCAAAAGATCTCATCAAGATCTTTACAGTGTTCCAATCCTTTAAGCTGAAAACTCAAAGCACCTGGATGCCCCTAACAACTCTATAATTATTATTAGTTGTCTTAAAGTACTTTTAAAATACTTATACAAAATAATAAATAATAACTTACCTTAATATAATTATCTCATACTTCTTTACCAGCAGTTACTGGTTCTGTTTCCTCATCCTACCTAAATCCAGATGAGTTCAAAAGATGATTAAATGCTTTCCATGACTTTTTCATATACTCATACCTGTTAGATTCATGTCTATATTTTGTAAGACTATTTAATATACTTTAATGAATATAAAACCTGCTGTTTGTACATGACCTTTTATCTGACTTATTATCAAATCATTCTTTCTAACTCTCTGCTTATTAAAAACCGACTGTTATCTCCTTCTAAACCTTATATTTGAATCCATTATCAATTTTCTTGCCTTTCCTGTACTGCTTCAACATCTCATCAATAAGAGCTCAGTCAGCAGTTTTCATCTATGCCACTTTAGAGGCGTGTTGACTACCTGTTAGATTAGTAGTTATTTTCTTTAGTTGGTTAAGTGGAGGGTTGATTTGTGACAAAAGAAATAAAATAAATTAAGTTAAAGAAAATGTGAAAAGCTCTTATATCTATCCATTTACAAATTATTCAAAATTTATTTATAATTTTATAAAATTGGAATTAATTTATCAATCAACTGTATGTTAAAATAAAATTAAAAAAAATAACATTATTGAAAGCTTCAACTATGGTTTAGAAAATTTACAAACTGTAGTTTGTAAAGTTATGTTTACCAAATAGCCCAATGTTACCAACCATGGTTTGAGTCCAAACTATGGTTTGAAAGTCCAACATCAGCAAAAGTTCATTCTGCGTCAGATCTACATGTCGTACATCCCGATACAGCGTGCTGGTCTCCTGTATCTCCTGTGTCTCCTGTATCCCCTGTGTCCCCTGTGTCTCCTGCGTCCCCTGTGTCCCCTGCATCCCCTGCATCTCGTGGGTCTACTACTTCTCTGCAATGCTTCCCTGTGTCATGTACATCCCCCTTTTTATCCTGTCCATTCCCTCCATATCCAAGCAGGCACCACCTGCCCATACATCTGGACTGTATCCTGTTTCTGATCCAATCTTGTTGTCGTCCTGACCCCACGACCTGAGATCAACTGCGAGATCAAGCATTCTCTGCATCCTGATGCTCTGTTCTTGCTTCTTTCCTGATTGCTAGTTTCCAGTCACCGTTACCACAATCTGTTGACTACCAATTTGATTCCTGGTCCCAGCATTCCTCATCTCTGATGGCTACATCTCGATTCTCATTTCCTTCAGATTTACTTACAGTCAGCATGTCCGAGTCTACGGCGTTATCTTTCTGATGCCAAAATGAAAGTTTTGACCCCTGGGCTCCTATCGCGATATCTACAACTTCTCCTGTCTCCAAGCTGATGCCAGCTCCGACCAAGGCCCATGTTGCACATTATTACATCCTGTGCTTAGATTACTAGTAGACATTCTTTGATTCTAAACACAATCTTGTTCAACTTGAGTCTTGTATTATTAATTTTACTCTACCATTACGCAATTATTTCTACCAATAGTTTGAGTTAATACATAATAGTAGGAATTCCGACGCTCCCTGCTGGCCTTGTGGTATATCCTGCCTTACAACACAGGATACACCACAGGGCCTCCATTCATTCCCCCAAATGCAATCTCAATAGATCTCATTGAATGTCCTCAAATTGATTTTACTATTCACTGGTCATTGCCGGTCACTGGCTGGGACTAGGTGCGCATGGCCCAGATTGGTCCCAATGTCCACTATTGGAAACTGTTGTTCCTCTATCCTCTGCTCTACCAGGATGGGACCATGGGCATTTGATGGCCGCCCAGAATTAACCACACTTGTCATTTCTACCATTGCGAGTCTGTAGACCCTATTCTGGTGCCTGTAGTCCCAGATCTTGAACAGCTCCCAGAGTTTAGCGGGAAGATATCCTCTGAGGGTACCATACATGTGCTTCCCTCCAGCCTGCACCCAAACTAAATCATTCTGATTCTGTTGCATGCTGAAGAGCGAAGAACCCGTACATGGCACCTGGTGGGTATTATAAACTTCTGTTTCCTGGAACACGGGAATGGGGATTTCAAGTTGTGTTATCAGTTCAGTCAGAAGTAGTTGAAGTATTGCAGGATCTTTGTGAAGCGAGCGCTTCATTGGCAGGCTGTAACAGCTATACCAGATCAATTCATCACAAAGGCTATCAGTTGAAATTCTGACTACCTTGCACAAATCCACGATATTTGAAATGTCAGGTTGTTGTCCTTTTAGGATCCTGGGACATGTAACTGACTCAGATGCAGTATCTTCTGCCTTCCACAGGTCAACAGCCTCTGTAGGTAGATCTACACCTCAATGTCAAAGTGCATCCAGGTTCAAGAGTCTGATGTGTATCCTGTGCTGTTGACTGTAGCTCTGTATAATATGGTACGTGGTGTTGTTTTTATTCTAATGCCACTAGCTGTCTTTGATTTGTCCCTTATGTACAAGCTCGTCAATCTCCCTTGAATACATTTAAATGTTGCCAAACTGATATATGTGATCCGGAAAATGGCCAAGTAGATGCATTTTAATAAAGTTAAAATGAGATTCTGCATGGATCAGTTCCAGGCATAAGTCGTCGTCCTCTCCACGATGTTCCTCTAGCATTTTGATACAGCTTGGATTTGGTGAGAGATTGATCTACATACTCCCGTAGATGTTGCTGCTCTCTTTGTTGGTTGTTGACCTTTTCTTGTGTTCTTTTAGATATCCGAAACTCTAAGAAGATATTCTTCGTTGAATGAAAACTTGCAAGATATTATTCCATATAATCTATAGTCTCTAGGGTATGACTACCGTATTGAGCCATCAAACTGAAATTGAGCAATAACCAGACACAGATGACTGCACATTTAAAAGGTGTTGCTTGTGTACTGTCAGGCTGTCTGAGAGCCGCAGTGAGGACTGCTAAGAGGCAATGTCTTAGGTTCCACATTTCCTTTTCTTACTACTGTATAATCTTACTGTGGTCCTTTTTGGGGGTGAAGAATTGCGGATAGGGTGGTAATGTGCTCTAGGTGTCGTCAAAGGCCTGCTGTTGCCTGTGCTTCTTGAGAAATCCCTGAACCCAATTCATTATATGCTTGAATAGTCCAAGATAAATTGTATGTAGCAAATCTGGCTAGTCCACATTGGATGCCGAAGCACATAGAAGTCCATGGAAAATGGTTCATCCTACCTGGATGCCAAGGGCATGAAAGGTGCTGGGGACTACCTGCAAGTTGGAGTATGTGATGCTATCCAGACTATCTTGTTTCAGAAGATCATATTTCACATCATCCAGGATGGGATGTAGTTGCTTTTTTGCTGAACCTAACTGATCTGCAGGGACCTGGTATTTAGAACAGATATTCGATTTTACACTATGTAGCGCAATGTTTTCCATATGGTCTGCAATCTATGCGGCCAGGACAGGGAAGCACCACCCGAACTTGGCCGTCAGTACAACCAAGTGGGACGCGGTTGAGCGCTATGTTGTGTGAGGGCTCGAGAATGAGTTTTAATACTCCTTGGAGTATGTCAGTATTAATTTGTCTCCGGAGTTCATTCGCAGAAGTAGACTTTGGCAATGTAGGTGGGACTGGTGCGAGCCTAAGAAGGAGAACTTCCATTGATCCAGGCTTATTATGCCTAGTCGACTGAAGATTTCCAACAGTAATCTATACAGGCTAAGCCTTCTTGTCTCCAAAGAAGTTGGTAAGATGTGTCTGATCGGACATCCCAATAATCGGAACAACAGTCACACTAGGCAGGAGCGTTTCCTGTACCAGTTAACCAACATTTGCATAACTGATATGAAGTAGGTAATTTACCTGGAAGTCCACCCACCAATCTGTAGTATGCATTTCTGCA